TTTTGAGACTGGACAGGTTGTCGAACAAAACAAGCAGTATGAATGTCAAGCTGGTAAATCCTGAGGGTCATTTCTCACTGATTTCTTAGACACAACGCTTGAATAACCCTACTCAGAAAGTACTCTGCAGATGACACGATAATGAAAATAATAAGGATGCACAGGGGAAGTACCTGCCAACATAGCCGAACCACTATAAATACAGTTTCTTTTTCTTTTTCTATAATCAGTTACAATCATAGCAGACATCATGACGTGGACTATTTGTGCCACAGCAACCCTAAGCTTCATATTAAATAAACATTAATCCAAAGCGTTTCACTCAGTGAGATATACAGAAAGGGAGAGCTCTGGTATTTGATTGGTACTCTGTAGAAAATAATTGTTAGTTGCATCCCTAATTTTCTGTATTCATATACTGAAATGTAAACACTTTTTTAAACCATCAGGGGGAACTGATACTTTAATGTGACTACAGATGATTCCAGGTTTATAGCTTGAGTAGAGAGACTCTGGCTACTGATAACTATAATCAGGTTTGTTGATAAAACTGTATTTACTTTCTGTTAGAAAAATAACATTTAAAGAGATAAGATGTAATGATTTTTTAAGAGAGATAAACAATCTTTTTCCTCTGTTTGCGTGGCACATCCCACCCACACACTACAGTTTTAATTGATACAAGTATTAACACTGAGGAGAAAACAAGATGAAGTGCATGTGTTCGAGTGGTGAATACATAAATATCCTCCATGTTCTTCTCACATGCTGGGTTCTGAGCATCTTTTTTGTTTATGGCGTTGGCTATCAGCACACAGTATTGGCTGTTGGCAGGAAATACTTTGGAGCCTCCTGCTGTGAACTGAGGAGTTCACACATGTGGGGCTGCTACACCCAGAAACCCTCCAGCTGTTCGTACACCGACCAGGATTGAACCAAAAGTAAAACATTTCAAACCTTACAGATGTGAAAGTGATGAACATAATGATCTTGTCTGGCACGGTTTGTACTGTTTTATGTTCTTTTCTTTTTTCGGTCATATGTTGTGTTCATTGCAGGTATTTTAACACGTTATTAATAACATTAAATGTGGTTAACATGTCTGTTCTGGTGTGAAAAGGCCTCTGCACGCAAAAGCCGAGGCACCACCACCAACAAATCTAGCATGTCGTCATCTGTTCATACTCCGCTGAAGTTTTCACATTCCAGTCGTCCTTTGATAAGCAGCAGGTGTTTGATAGAGAGGGAATAAAGACCTGTTACCAAGAGACCAAAACCCCGCTGCCTTGAACAACTACTGGCCCGTAGCCTTGACTTCCCGCTTTATAAATAAAGTGCTGCAGTAAGGCATCGTGAGGAGAGTTTAGACGTACAGCAGCCAGAACTTTATCAGTATGTTAGTGTTTTAACCAACTCAAATGAACATATACATAATGCTGACTTTGTTTTCTTGTATGTATAATACATGTATACGTGTGTTACAACAAGGATTCTGATGGAGGGATTAAATAAACTGAACCAGATCTTACAAAAGGTATTAGCTGTAACATTTAGTGTTTCTCAACTACTTCCCCTTCAAAGTCATTTACTTCTCTTTTACAAATCCGCCCCCTACCTGGTGCTGCCCTGTATGATTACAACAGGGTCAACCTTTACTGTTGACCCTGTGTAGTTCGTGGAACTGGGTGGAAGGTGTGTATTTATTGCTGTGTAAAATGTTTCCTGTTTTGGGCAATAAAAAAAAAGACTTTGTTCCGTACAGCAGTGTGAAAATTACAGTGTAATCCATCCAGGTTGCTCACAATGTCACATACAAAGTAGAGGCTTTTTTTTATAAGCCACCAGTTTCCTCACTGCGGCTCTTCATGTTGCCATAAAAAGCAAGTAAACAGTGACTTCTACCACTTTTTGGTTATGATGCTGCATATTGTGAACAATTAAAGAGCACAAACCCACTCATACAGAGGTCCTTACCACATTTGTGTCTGTTTCTATGGTGTGCTCCACGACATACGTGTGGTCGGCCACATAGCCCCGGTCCCAGCTGCAGTCCAGCCGGATCAGGGCGCGACAGCGGTAGTGGCATGTGAATCTACAATCTGTAAGAGCAAGAAGTCACTCAGTTTAGATTAACACCGGCAGCAAACATATACATACATGTGACAAACTCACAAATGTGATGTTATTGAGTGCACTTCTAAAGGGGTGATGTCCTCCTCTGGCCATTAATTGTCACTGCAGTTCCTCTAACCTCTGCACTTACCATCATTTGCCCTTAATGCCACACAATATAGATAAATACATAAATGAATGGCAGATCTTGAAATACACAAGTAGCTATGCTCCAGCTGTTGAGTTACACATGAACTTAAGTTTGTATGAATTTTTTCATGATCTTTCATCAGAGTCTTTATAATAATTAGTGTCTGTTTCTATGACACATTCCTTATGATTTGATTGCGGTCTCATAATCAGATTACTGTCAAGAAGCTTTTTTTTTTCTGCACACTAAACGCTTTACACAAACCACAGCTACATTTCAGTGGGTTTCAGTTGATGAAGAGGAAGTTTAAGACTATTGCAACTCCAAGGTAAAGTCTTGAGCAAAAACAGCACGCAGCAGATCTGAAGGTCGACCCTGAACCGAGATAATAACCAAAACCACAAACCACTTAAACAACTACATGCATGTTAGATAAAGTTCCTTCTGCAGGAACATGGAGAGTTATTTATTTTAAAGGCACATCAAAGCAGTTAAAGCTATGATTTCACTCAGTGAAGAGGCAGAGTACAGGGTTGGGTCTACACCTACAACTACATCTTCTCTGTTTAACCAAATTTCCTCTTACTCTCAGTCTTGCCCTCATTTCTGATCATGCATATGCACAACAGCAATCACACATGCACACACCCAGGCGCCACAAACAGCCTACGTAAGACAACTCACTGACACACCGCAGGCTCTGCTTGTACAGTCCCCAGATGAAGTCACCACACAGATCACACCACGTGGGCTGAGCGTGGCTGCAGGGCTGGAAGTTGTGTCCCTCTCCCTTCTCCTCGGTGAGCTGGGGGTCCTGGCTGCTGCTCAGGACTCTGATGATGCCCGCCCGGCTCAGGAGGTCCGGGACCTTCCCCGGGCTGATCCTCAGGGCGTTTGTTCTCTCCAGGCGTGGAGGCGAGCAGGGCGAACGTGTGCCGGTCAAGTCTATCTGCTCTCTGCCCGGCCTCAGGTCACGGAGCTCGATGAACTCCTCCCAAGACATTGTGTCACTCAGAGCCGGGCTTCCTCCATTATCACTGACAGATGGAAAAACACACAATAACACACTGGTACCTGCCAAAAACTGTTGGGCTCCTGTTTCAACGTTTAAAAAAAACAAGTGATCTTGAAATTATAAGGTTTTATCTTATTTAACTTTTAAACCTACACTAACTATATACAATAGTTCAAAGTATCCTGTACTTAAGTAAATGTAGCAATACCACAATACCAAAAATCAAACCCTTATTTAAAAGTAAACCAAAAATTATACTGTAGTAAAAGTACATAGGTATTATCAGCTAAATCTACTCGAAGCATCAAAACTGAAAGTACCCATTATGGCTCCTTTACATATCATTTGATTATATTTACAGATTTTTTAACTGATTTCTTTCTGTAGATCACAAAAAAAGTTGAATATTTCATTTTGAATTGTAATGGAGTATAAGTAAAGTAGCATTAAATGGAATTACTACAGTAAAGTACAGTGCTGTGCTTAGCAACATTGATTAAGCCATATACCATCATTATTCTTCTTATTATTATATTATGTTTGTTTTCCATTATCATAAAGTCTACATCACATTACATTAGTTTACAGTAGATCTCAGACATTTGATTTACATACAATATTTCTGGTAGTTTAGTGATCATGTTTTGCATATGACACGTTGGTTTGTCATACAACATACTCAAGTATTATGTAATATTTAATAGTCTGCAAACTTTTAAAAAAATAAGTAAAACAGGACGATGAAGCCATTGAGAGCCTAACATGACTCTTTCTTCCACGATCAGCTATAATCTTCTCTGTAAATAAAACAATTAAAAGATGCATTTACGAGTCCTCGGAGGATGAATACTCAAATGTTTAAGTTACAAAACAACAATCTTGATTAACTAAGATAACCAAACTTCCTAAGAATACAAAGGAAAAATCAAAATATTCAGTCTAACTCACCAAAACAGGGGAGAAAACAGCCCCGTGGCAACCGCTTTGTCTCAAAACTTCTTCCATCCGAAGAGAAAAACTTTCCGCAGAAATGTTTCTGTTTCCAAGTAACGGAGGTGTGCAGCCTCGGCTTCATCTCTGGAAATAATCGATCATCACCGGTCACTTCCAGCTACAGACGGAGGCCCTTACTTTTGTCCGGGAACAGCGGTGTCTGCTCAAAGACGCTAACCCATCTTTTTGATGATTTTTCAGACTGTGTTTGTAGGAGGAAGCTGCAGCATATCATGAAAAAGGGAGAGAGAGAGAGAGAGAGAGAGATGAGACTGAGCTGTACCGACATCCGGAATGTTTTCACATAGGGGGTGCTTCTGAGTCTGAGTACAGCTCAGTGGGCGTGCAAAATCCCCCAGCCCTGCAACCAAAGGTCTTAATGTGTGATGGATCTGGTTTTCATTTAGCACAGCAGTGGAAAGCCTCAAATAGGATACATATTGTAAATAAACTGCAAAAACGTCAAAATGTCAATATTGATGATGCATTATCCTACAGACAATGCTGTTGTTTACACACAGGTTAGATCCTCTGCACAAAGTCAACAATACAACATGCTGGGAGGCTTAATCTGAACTGGACTAGCAGGAAAATTTAGTCCCAAGAAGAAGTGAATAAAGATTCCCAGAGATCCCCTAGGTGAGTAAGTGAGTCTATCAGGTTCCACACTAAAAATGCTTTTGTTCTTTATAGAACTGGGAAAGAAGACAAAGAGGAGGGAGTTATGAAAGCATTTTTTTATTTGTCAAGGCGGAGGGAGTTATGAAAGCATTTTTTTATTTGTCAAAATACCAAAATGTATTAAATCTAAGAGAAACAAATGAGAATGAACTGGATAAAGCTAACACCCTAAAGCTCTTCTATTAAAGACAACAGTATGGTTAAAACAGTTATCATCATAACAAATATTACACTCAGGAACAACACAATTCTGTAACGGGGAATTAACATTTCCAGCATTAAAAATAAAGAAGATTCCCTAGAAATCCAAATCTGTATCGTCCCATCTGCCACCACTCCGAACACGTGCTTCAACAGTCTCTCTCTTTTAGCTGTTCGACTCCCTCTGGATCTTCTCTGTGGCCTCGGCCATAAGCTGGCAGGCTTTCTTGTGTTTAGGCCAGTGCTTCACCTGACATTCTCTGATAAAACAAACAAAACAAAAAAAACAATAAGATGAACGAGACATCAGCAGAAAAATGTCACAGATTTAGTGTTGAAAAGTATGTCTGAAGTACAATAGCTCAGATGTTCTTCTCCCTAACCATGTTGTCCAGCTCCTGGGTCATCCTGAGGTGTAACTATTTTCAGCAGCTATAAACTTATTCTTTCAGCCATTACGCAAAGCTCCTGACTATACAGGTGAGCACTGGAAAGTACCAAAGCTATAAAAAACTGATCTACAATCAGAGTTTCGACCCACGGCTGCACTGTGGGGAAGAAGATCAACTGGTCCTCATTATGTGTACAGTGACTTTTTCTGTACCAGCACTCTGTGCAGGTTGTTAGTTTAAAATAAAAGAATAAATACAATGATCTTATTTTGGGTGCCTAAGACTTTTATTTTATTTTTGTCGTGGTATCAAAAGAGGTATCTAGTATTGTGTTTTTATACTAATATTGTATTAAAATTCTGGTATTGTGACAGACTTAGTATCTGCATTACTGCTGGCCTTTTACACCTATAACTATACATGTCTTACCTGTGACAGTACCATTCTCCCTGACAGCGAGAGCATCTCTTTGCAGCCTCTTTCCCACAGGATCCACACTTTGGTTTCTCAGGGAGTAAACTCTCTATCACATCTAAGTTGTACGTCTGAGCCAACCTGGTAAAGAACAATCAATACTTGTCTCAATAATAACACAACAGCACAGATGGATTGAGTTCTCTGCAGTAACACTGAAGGTATTACCTCTGTGCCTGCAGCCTCAGGTCACTCTCAGATGGGTTGAACGTCTCTTTGACTTGATACTTCGCTATTGCCTGCCACTTCCCAGAATTCTCCCTCACAATGTGGTTCCACATTTCTGGGATCTACACATGAATGAAAGCTCTGGGTAAATGCACAGAGGCACAGTAAGGTATAGAGATACTGTGTGTGTGAGTGTGTGCATGTATGTGCGTGTACCTGTTCCAAAACAAGCTCTTTTTTTGGAGGGGCGGGGTCTGTAACTGCCAGGTGAGCCAGGTAACGCTGCAGTTCCACCAGGTTCGGCAGCTGATCAATCAACACTTCTGTCAAGAAACCCCGGAGCTGCAGCACATGAAGGGTCAGCCCACCAATAACAATACAGCAGCGAGAACAACAACGTAATCAGCGTTAAGAAGAGGGCAAAATGTTATTACAGGAGGATGCACAAGGCCCTCTGCTTATATAATTAATGCAACAGGAAGAGGATGAGAAAACGTATAATAGGAGGAAACTTCTTAGTCAAAACAACCCTTTGGAAACTGAATCTGGATTTTCACAAGTTGTAAGACAATGATCTGGCACTCGCACACTTCCTGAGCTTCAGTTTACAGATAATAAACAGTAGCCACTTGAACAGAGGAGGACATTAAAATCAAGTTACACGTTTATTAATTAAAATAACTCAAATAAGGGATGAGAGTCGGTTTTATACCTTTAGAAGCTGGTTCTTGTTGAAGTTGTTGAAGTCATATTTCCGTTGGCAATCTTCCTTCAGCAACAGATTGTAAAGAGAAATCCAGACCTGACCATCTAGTTTTGTCATCTTCAAACGGTCCTCAACGGGAATCTTCTGCCATCTGCCATTTGTGTACTTTTCTATCTCACCTTCAATGGGAGGCAACTGAATTAATACTCATTTGTTAGGCAAACGCCAACATCTAAGGACACATTTGCTGTGCAAGAGGCGTGACATACCTTTACTACAGCGACTCCAAGGGCAGCAGTCAATCAGCTGAACCAGCACACAGGGCATGTTATGGGTGCACAGCATGCGATTGATAACACTGATGCTGTAAAGAAAAAGATACACTTTACTTCAATCAGCTGTAGAGGTGAAACCACGGTAACAGTAAATTAATAAACGCTCAATTAACAGAAAACTAATCTGCAACAATTTTGATAGTTGATTAATCATTTAGGTCCATTTTCAAGCAAAAATGCCAAACAGTCCTCGATTGCAGCTGGTCAGATGTGAGAAAACGCTGCTAGTTTTATATTATTGTAAATTAAATAACTGTTGGTCAGACAAAACAACAGTCTCAACAAAATGATTATTGAACATATTGTTAAAAAAATAACTGATGGATAAATCAAAGGTTTAGCTTGAATTGTAAATGTCTCCCTCTCCCTCCTGTAAGCTCAAAACCAACCCTCACTGACGGTCCAGACTCTGCATTACCTCTCAGTGTGATCCGTGATGTAGCGCAGCACAGAGACAGCCTTCAGGGAGATTTCAAACTCCAGTGAAGCACTCTGTGTCTGCAACTCCTTCAAAAGGTTAAAAGAATGACGTGACTGATCACTTTAAGACTCCTGCAATAGCCGGAACAATGAAACCAACAAAAGCACCATAAATGTCAGACTCTCATACCTCTGTAGAGGATACAACTGCTTCCCCTGTCAGGTTGTGTTCGTCATGAGTCGTTACGCCCCCCCTGGTCGCCTTGCTGGCCAGCAGGGTGAGTTTGCGGTGGCAGTAATCCACCAAGTCTAGAACGGAGTCATCAGCTGCCTCACATGAATCCTACACAATACACAAAACTCTTTCAACGCATCACATAAAGATTATTTCACAAGTGTTTACAGAGAGAAAGAGCCGAGGGTCTGAACCGCCCCGGCACGTGATCACATCCATGATTTAAAGCACTTCAAATATGCAGCTGATGCACACACTGACCTTATGAAACATGATCGTTTCAAGTAGGTTTATGATCGTGGCTTCGTGGTGGATCTAAGGAGACATCAAAGAACATGTGATATCAGTTATGAGCGCTGCAAGCTGATCATCATCTTCCATCTCGCTTTACACTCACCACCATGTAAAGATGAAATGTGTTCTTGGGATTAAAGTCCTGCAGCTGACATAAGACGGGGAACACTTTTTGTTTCCACACTTCGACGAGGATCAGTTCATGGACCAGAACGGGTATCTGGAGACGGAGGAGGGGAGATACTGTATCATCATATCATCATATGTAACTGTAGGCAATAGAAACTACAGAACTCTTCTTCAGGGTTTGGGTAATTGCCACCGACATTCACCTTTCCATATGACACCAGGAGCTCCTTGACGAACTCATCATGAGCTGCAGACGCATTCAGTATCGCCTGCATGTTGAGTTTCTCAATGTACTCATGCTGTCTGAACCACCTGTCAACACACAAAGAGAAACAATTAAGAAACAGCAGAGTTAGGCTTCAGGAACTGTCCAGACCTCTCAGATAGTTTGTGACAGGTCTGCTTACTGCCCCGAGAGTCAAAACTAACATGGAGGAGCTTTATTCAGTTTCTATGAGCCACATATCTGAAATAAAAACCTCCAACTCTCAGTCCTATTAAGTTGAGGCTCAGCACTTTTCTGTTTGCAACTGTATGTAATTTAAAAAAAGTTGGGACTATTCGTAACTTTTATGTCTTATGCAAAGAACTTAAATTATTGCATTTATTCTTATTTGACATGGACTGGGCAAGGATTACATCGTTACATCGTTGGGGGAGGTAAGTGCCTTGAATTAAGCAAGGTAGCAATCATCGTATGACACTGAGGTGGCATCTTCAATCCTCTATGCAGTAGTCTGTTGGGGAACCTGTACTCTATACTCAAAGACCTATTTATAGCTTATATTCCCTTTAAATTACACTGCTGTATATATTTTCTATCCTGTGCAATTATATTATTTCTACACTACCTCCTGCTGTGACCTGAGCAATGTTCCCCATCAATAACTATATAATAACATCATATCTGTAAATAAAAAGCCATACATAGTTCACATATTATCACATATTTATGTTATATATTGTATTTTATTTTTTCTATTCTTATTTAATGTGTATTTTTCTAATCTGTTGTGTTGTATCTGGATCTACTGTAGCAAGTGAATTTCAGTAAAGTCTATCTTACCTTAATAAAGCAGTGGTGGAAAGTAACTAAGTACATTTACTCAAATACTGAACTTTTTTAAGATACTTTACTTGAGCTTTTGATTTTGTGCTGCTTTATACTGCTACTCCACTACGTTTCAGAAGGAAATATTGTACTTTTTACTACCTTTCACCTGCTCCACCTTTACCAGCTGCAACATTACACATCAATGCATCAGTAATTATAATACAATAATATAATACACATTATTCTGAAATGGGCCATTCTGCACAATGAGTACTTTTACTTTTGGTCATTTAAAGTATATTTTGATGATAATACATTTGTGATTTTACAAAGTAATTGTTATTTTTAGTAACAGAGTATTTCTATATGAAGATCTGAGTAAAGTTACTTCTTCCACCACAATAAGTCATTTTCCATTAGAGTATTTCTAACTACTGAGGAGGATTTAAATACTTTTTAGATGTCCCAACATGTATACATATATATATGTATACAATAAGTAGTTAATGTAGTAGTAAACAGGGTTCAGGGTACTGTCAGTGGTTAGTGGAGGTCTCTTTCTAACATTTGCTTGTTGTCCATCTCACCTCGCAGAGCCCACTTCCTTGAGAGGGAAAGTTTCCAGACTTTGAACAAACCCCTCAGCTTCGACAGGCAGGACTACCGACGGGTCCATGGTCGTTATAGGAAGCCACTCAACAAGCTATCAAGTTAAAAAGAGACTCGCTGTCTTCAGTCGGGCTGTTTCTGGAGTTGAACTATCAGCGTCAGCGATACCCCGTCGTCATGGTTACTGTAAACCAAGCGCACACAGAGGGCAGTACCTCCCGTCCGCCGGAGAGGGGCGGTGCATCTTCAGGTAAAAACCAAGAGTGTTTAACAGTCTTAAATCAACATGTGATGAAGGATGTGAGGTTCATGAGCTGCAGTGCCACACTGTAAAAATACTACATTACAAGTTAGTGTTACTAGAAAGAGTTTACTGATGCATTAGTGCTTAAGTATTATTTTACAGTTAATACATAATCTACCACTAGATTATTCAATTACTAGACCAGTAATTATAGCTGTCAAATAGATGTTGTGTAATAAAGTATTTTTTATTTGGATTTGAAGACATTACAGGTAAAATCAGTACTAAAGTAAAAAATTAATTAAAACGTTTTTTCACAGCCCGATGAGATCTTCTGTATCTGCTTGTTCTAGTGCTTCAATCTTCGTTTTTTTATGGCTGTACAATGTGTTTTGTTTTGTTGTTTTTTTAGCATAATTTTATACAATTTAAGACAAGCTGTCACACTGTGGTTTAATCTCCTTTATTAATCACAGATTTCCTTTTTGTACAATATTAATAAATACCACCTTCCACACTCGACCTAAACAAAAGTATATACCAATTCCTGATGAAGAGTTAGTTACACTAAGATAAAAATTACAAAATACTACTTTTGTTATTCCTCTCACTGAAGGCATCTTTGGTTGAGGCGTCTCTGTATCTCTGAGTCTGGCAGTTACTGTCACATCACTTCCAGCACACCACGATGTTGGGATCATTTTCCAAACGTTCGTCGAGCTCCTGGTAACTGATTCCTGTAAAATTATATGACATTGTAAACATACTTGTTTTCTACCATTAGTTATCAGTTCGCACTAAACTAACAGAGGGAGCTGTAAAAAACCTGCCTGTTTTGCAGCAGATCTCATCGTAACTATGACAACCGGTATAAAGTCGAGGCAGCCTGCTCCTCTCATCGCGGATCACCTTCACCGGGTATTTCTGCAGCCGTCGAATGAGAGACCTCATCAGTCCGAACTGGATCAGCCTCCTGAAGGGGAACACATGGCGCACATGTTAATAACTGTGACTCCAGTATTTTCAGGAGCTGATAAAGTGATTGATGCCGACCTCTCATCAACCCTTTGAAGCTGCTGCGAGTAACGAGAACAAAGGTCTCGGACGGTGGTTCCCGGACTCAAACCGCAGTAGAGCTGGAACACGTCTCTCAGACTGGCACGCTTCTGACCTGACAAACAACACGACAATGCAATCACAAGATAAACAGAAACAAATGACGCTTGTGTTCAATAATCGGGACCCTTATTTACCCTGCTTAGTGACGTAGCTGAGGCACTCTTCCTGTATGGACTTATCATCCATGAGGCTCTGGACTTTGGGGGTTGTGCAATACACATTACTGTACTGGAGGAGGTAAAAGGCACAAGACAATCACAAAAGTAAACAGACCCTAAAAGAGAAAAGTGGTAATATTTTTAGATTAAATAAGAAAATGTAAGAGAAAAAAAGTCATAATATTAGAAGAAAAAAGGTGATAATGTTTCATAATTTTAATACTCTTTAATCTCTTTAGTTAACAGGTGAGATCGGTCTCAGTTCTGAAGTGTCGAATGAATGATGTGGGTGAGTTGAACTAAAAGGTTTCACCAATAGCGACTTTTCTTATATAATATACATATTCCATCAGAAATAGGACCACTACACCATGGATGCACAATACACCTTTTTCACAGCAGCCATTTTGAGCATGAGAACTAGTAGGCGCCTAACGACAGGCTGGTTTTCTTCACTCGGTTTTGGAAACCTGAATGGAACATAACCTTAATGAGTTTAATTCACCTGTGTTTACGTAAGTATTTCTTTTCAAAATGGCTGCTGTGAAAAGGGCCTATTGCAGTGGAATAAGTCCAATGTGTTGTGCTGTGTGAGGTTCGTTTTGTACCTGGAATATTGACACCAAAGTCACAACACCATAATACCTGTGAAGGGAAAGGATGATTTTGAGGATCTCTTCTTTGGTTTCTTTTGGAAATTAAAAGTCTTACAACACTGAAGTGCAACACACACCAGCTGAGTCACGACGCATCTGATCATCTGAAAACAGCAAATGTGATAAAAACTGCTGCTTTCCTGAAGAGCAGCAGCAGCAGCAATGAGAAATAAGAGAGTGTCTTATCCTGACCTTATCTGAAGACTGTGCCAGTTTGCAGGCTTACTGTAGATAAAAAATAACGGATGAGCGTGTTTGGACATGCCTCCGCTGGCATGCGTTACCCTTTTATTAGGCGAAATGTACTCACAGCAGATTCTGCACAGCAATGCGAACAAGATTCAGCTCTACATCCGCTTCAGCAGAGATTTTTTGGATGTGTCTGAATCCGTCGATATAGGGGAGGATCTGCAGTAAACACAGTGTAACATTACTGGCTTTTACTAAAGCTCTATACACACTGCTGTCTATATATAATCTTATACTGCTTATTATTATAGCAATAACACATTATTGTACAACACTATTTCCTACACTAAAGCCTCCCATGCATCCATAAACTACAGCTGATAACCAGCCATTAATCACTAATCTTTCTCCCAGTGGTTCTTAGAAATGTGTCACGTCTTATCACAGCGTTGATAACAGTCACAAGGCCTACCTGTTGGGTGGTGAGATCCCACTGAGATTTGATAAAGTGGTCTTTGCACTGGGTGAAGACTGGCACGTCATATTCTTGGACAATCTGGGGGTCCTTTCTCAGCTGGATCAGCTTTAGGTGTATGGTGTTGGATGCATCTAGAAAACCAAAACAGACACAGAACAGAAAGAGACTTGATTTAAAGTAAAATAAGGTTTTCAAGGGCCAAATCGTGAACACAGTAAGTGCTGAATATTGTGTGGCACTGCTATGAGATGACACTAGCAGCAGTGGCCCCAAGGTAATTTGAATTTAAGACCCCGGATTAAGTAGAAGTGCTGGTTAATAATGATGTTTGCCCTTTTGAAAGGATCAATGTGATTATTAGATTTTTCAAGCAAGGAGCTTTCTTCCTTCTAATGAGTTTTAGAAAAGGGTCTAATTAGTTTGTTAGATACCACACTTTGAGTGTTTTAAACATGTTCAGGTATATCATTATCCAGGAATAGATTACAGCATTTTTGTACGTTCATTTTTTAATAAAATAAAGAATTTGAGTTTGAATGCTATCTTTAAACAGCTACAAAAAACAAGTATTACCAAACTTAAGATGTAAATTATAATCAGCCCATCTCTGAACTCCAGAAAAGCCTCAATAGTGTTTGTAGAGGATGTAGTTTACCAATCTGAATGTATTTCCTCTCTTTTTACAGCACACACTTTAAATAACTGCTTGCACGGTGGTGTCACTGTGTCTTGGGACCTTATTTGTTTATAATAACAATATCACTAAATTCAATTTGGACACCTTTTTCCTGTTCCTGTTGTGCACACACTTGTTTGCATTTCACCACCACCTTGAGGATGTATGTTAAAGACGTATGTATGTTAAAAGGTTGTTTGCCACAGATACAATTAGACAGTAAAATCTAAAATAATACCTATGGGTAAGGTGCAGGCTCCTGTGGCATTAAGTTCTTCCAACAGCGTCGACATAATGGGTAAAAGTTTCTGCTTGCTCTCCTCATTGGAAATAAATCCACTCTCCAGCTGCAACACAACGAGGCAAAAAACATTTGAAGACATCTTATTACTGAAAACTGAAATCCCATCGGTGACGAGTGCAGATGTGAAAGTGTTCCCTTACCTCCAGAGTTGTGAGGTACCCGGACAGCTTCTTAACAATCGGCTCAAGGGCACATGTGTTGGTCTGAGCATCACAAACGAGGCCAAGGTTAAACAGGAGGGCGTTTCGGCTGTACTTTTTATGTTCGATGCACACGGGACACCCGATTAACTTTTTTCCCATGGCAGTGCTAAAAAAAAAAAGATATGAAGAGCACAGAGAACAGTTCGATACTGACGAAGAGCAGGTGAAAGAAATCAAATGATTATGGGAAATAGACAGAAGAGGAGTGTTTACATACACTGTTATTAATTTGTTTTGCAGCTCCGGCTTGGTGATGATATAAACCTGAACTGTGTCAAAGAGCTCCCGGGAAATGTATTCCTCTGGGACCTGTCAGGAGAGGACATCGGGGACAATGTATGACAAGATACGTCCTATAAGATACGCTAAGAAGATTATGTTCTTTTCACTTCCAAGGTCAATACCACCAGAATATGTAGAGGGATTAAAATACCTGTTTATCATTAATAGGATCAATTATTCACATTTTAATTCCATCATATTCCCTAATACATAGTCAAACACAAGGATGCAGAGACTGTCCCGGGGAAATCTCTGTCACATTTACTTTAAACACTTAATAATAATAATTTCAAATACTAAATATGATCCAACATCTTTTACATACAGACCTCAACTTCATTTAAAAGAAAATATTTTAAGAAATGGGGACTGATGGTTGCTGTAATATACTTTAGATTCACATAGATTAACATAACTCCCAATATTTGACATCCTACACATGGAAGAAACCCTGTAATCTACCAAGATTTATGATACTATTTTTTAAAAGTCCTATATATTAGACTTCAATTTCAATGTACGTCTTGTTTTTGATATCAAATTATATGATTCCTATAACTGTAGTATCATAATAAGGATAATTATGCCATGTTGGTATTGACATACAGTCATTAATAAGACAACTGTGGTTATTTTATTACAACTAATCTTAATATAAATGTTGAACTATAATGCAAAACATTGTATCTGCACACTCACCTGATATGTTATCTTTGGACCCAGTGTGGGGTGAAACTCACTGAAAAATATACACTCTATTCGACTGCTCATGCCCATCATAGACCTTAAAGTTACCTAGTGAAAGCAAACTTTAATGAAAGCAAACTTTAACCAAACTGTTTCACTATCCTGTTTGTGACTGCTGTGTAGCAGCTGTAGCTAGCTGCTAGCTTCCCCTTTTAACGCCACAGACAAGCTCCTGAGCTGTGAGTGAGTGAGTTTTAGAGGTCAAACGTAAGAACAACGTCCCAACAAATATGTTACCACTGTAGTTTGAACAGAAATGCTGTCAACACAACAGAAAGCTATCAAACAACTCTCCAATAGTCGACACAGTCACAAACACAGCAGACCGGGGAACAACAATGCTGATGAGTTCACGGACTCCTCGTAACTTACTGTTGTAAATAACGGACATCGCAAATACTACCTTACGTTAGACAGTGAAGTATTTATTTAACAAATTAAAAATAATAATAACTCAATTTATGTTGTAAAGTGTTTATTTCTACATCTTTGGTGCATTTGCAGTTGCTTTGTTCTGTTGAAAAAGTGTCTCAGACAGTTTGAAGTTAGCTAGCAGTTGTATACCTCGATATTATTGTCAGCCGTTCTCAGCATTCACATTATCTCGGCTGTTTCATCGTTAAAAATAATTAAAAACGTCCCGTTGTTTAGCGCCAATGAATCACAAACGTGCTGCTGTTTTTCAGGCGCTCCACGTTTAAAACGCTCATATATCCGACAGTACTTAAGGGCAACACCGTTCAGCAGCGTCAGTGCTGCAATGCGTGCGCCGCATTTGGAGACGTGTTGTCAGTAGTTGAGGGGTTTTCTGCGCCATGTGCAGGAAATACTGTGAACGCTGACAACAGCGTGCCACCAGACTACAAAACACCAATGTAACGTTATACCACTGTAATGTAATATAAATGTAATACAGGTAAAGGAGAGCTGCAGGCTGGCGTTACTGACTGTATGTAGTGATGTAGAGTCTGTTTACAATCATATAATCATGTGGAGAAGACCTCTCAGTGCAGCCTACAGATACTCTGGACCAAAGGTAACGACCTGCTCGGTCTTCTTCTGTTGTTGTTTTCAGGGTACAGTAGATGGGATGCTCACTGAGATCAGGTCTAATGAAGAAGGACCTGATCTGACGTCGGTATTTCGACCCACGTGTGTTGTTTCAGCAGCTCATCAGACATCAATCAAGAGTCGTTTCCAAGTTGTTCGGACTTTATTTCAACATATATGATATTACTTTAAAGCCAAGCCACTGGACACCCAGAATACTTGGAGTTTGACATTGATACACCAACAGAACCGATAACAGTAGTCATTATATTTAGTAGGAAAATAGTTATAAACATATGAACAGCAATTAGAAAAGAAGCGACTCTACTGCTGTTCCTGCAGTCTTTAATCCTGTGCATTAAAGGAGAGTATTGACTGGCCATAATAGACCAGAGTTTATCAATGAGCCCTGCATATATAACTTTGAATGCATTGAATTTAACCATTAACACATGATAAAAATTCTATTGACATGTTGAACTTTGAATTCTATGTAATAATCTCTCTAGAGCATTTGACATTTTTAGAAATCCCCTTTATCCATAGATCTGTCTGCAACAACAACAACAACAACCACTTTCTGGGAATTGAAACACAGACTGTTCTCTCTCTCTCTCTTTCTCTCTCTCAGACAGCCGCTTTAGCCTGGAGCCTTTCTTCTGCAGGCAGTTTCTAATTGTTCCTAAACAACAGATAAGATTTAATGTCAGACACACTTACACACCCTTAATAGACCAGAGTTTATCAACTGTATCAACAAAGATGAAAATGTAAAGGAGTAACAGGCATCTGAGAGAGAAATAAATGTAACTGCAATGGTAAAATTAAACCTGATATGAACATTAAAGTGACCACAGTGGGCCGACAACTGAAGGAGGAACTACTTTGTTTATGTGTGGAAGATATTCATTAACCCCCTTTACCATTGAGGGAGTAAAGCCTCCTTGTGTGTATGTAAATATACCTGCAGATGTATTTAAGTTCATAAGACCAGTGATACGTCTCAAAGTATTTGACTAAATTTCAAAAGAAACAGGAAACATTTAAGAAGTTCTGAGCCACAAACAAACAAAAAAATTATCTGTTTTCCGGTAATTGACAGAAATGTCCTTTCCAGTACAGATAGAAACACCTCAGAATTGTGTAGGTATATCTGATAATCTCACACAACAAAGTGTACAGATGACTTGATCCTCCGTTTTGCTGAGGAAGTGATTGAAATCTTGTGAATTAAATATCAAACGTGAATCTTGAGTGTGCGTCAGTCAGTGGTGTGTCTGTGGTTTTCATCTGAAATTGAGTTTTTCACTTAGTAAGCGATGGGGTTTCCAAGTGAAATCAGCCGTGCTTGTTAAACCGTAGTTGGAACGCACAGTAGTTGTAGATTTGTGGTAATTTAGTAACTGAATCATGTGGTTTTAGGGGATCTGGGGCCTCCATGCTGTGCGTAGATGCAGCGCTCCAGCTTTACCTGCAGGAAGGATCACAGCACTCCAGGCAGTGGACTTATGGAAGAAGCACTTTGTGAAGAGAGGCGTGACGGAGCCCGACCACTCCAGCCACTACATCCTCGCTCACCTGCTCGGGGCTAAAACTGTGAGCTGTAAATTTGCCTGACATTAATATCTGAATACCTGCCACACATTTAATAGCATCCCTTCCCTGTACTTATGTGCATTTTCTTTATCCAGATTGAAAGCCTTGAGCAGGAGAAGTTAACAGAGTTTCTCAGCCGAGAAAAGACGGAGCAGATGTGGAAGCTCTGCACTAGACGCCTGTCCAGGTATAAAGTCTCTACTTACACTGCCCACATATAAATATGTTTTATTTTACTGACAATACTCATAAATATGTACATGTGTGTTTGGATTAGGATGCCTGTGCAGTATGTGATTGAGGAGTGGGACTTCAGAGATCTGACACTGAAGATGAGACCTCCTGTGTTCATACCACGACCTGAAACCGAGGTCAGACTAGGAGAAAAACAGGCCACACATACGTACAGTGTACAGTGAGATCTTAATGATTAATCACACATAACCGCAGCAGTGTTTTCTCTTGTGTGTTGATGCAGGAGTTGGTGGAACTCGTGCTCTCTGATCTAGAGATGAAGCCCGGGGCAGGAATGGGTGCAGACGCCCAGCACAAATGCTTTGAAGTGGGATGTGGCTCTGGTGCTATTTCTCTGAGTCTGCTGAAGAGTCTTCCTAAAGTGAGGCTTTTGTTTATTGTAGGTGGTAATAGATCTTTAGCCACTTTGATGGTAAAGTTTTGGCACAGACATTCATGGCCCCCAGAGGATAAAGCCTGCTGACATTGGTGGTGGAGTTTTCCTCCAGTGCCATCAGCAACATCTGAGAGATGGATTGGGAAGTTTTGTAGAGACATTCATGTTCCCCAGATGACGTATCCTGATGAGCTGATGGATTGCCGTAGAATTTGGTGCATTCAGGTTTCCCTGAGGAGGAACTGGAATAACTTCCTCTGATATTGCGTCTAGCATCAAATACTTGCAAAACTATCGACATTCCCATCAGCCTCAGCTGTAACTTTTTAGTGTGTTTAGATACAATTAGCAGATGTTAGCATGCTAACTCGACAAACTAAGATGTCAAACATGTTAAATATGTCACCTGCTAATCACAACACAACTACATTACCCACAATACAACACTACCAACGACTCGGTCGGATTTAACTTGGCTGTGGACTCTTACTCTTGTTTTTATTTTTAAGTAAATATGTTGGTGCTGAAATGATTGGTTCGTTGATCAATAGGTTGTGATAATCAAGTAAAATACCAAACGCTAGCTGGTCTTTCTTATCCTAATAGGTTCAATACATTTATTGATTGATACATTGGGTTTTTAGACTGCCGGTCAGACTCATTTTCAGACATCACTGTTGGTTTTGGTAACATGAGATCAAGAGCCAAGAGTCAATTTTGACATTTTAAAGACTAAATGATTAATCACTTAATAACTTCCTCATGCAGACAAACGCAGGAATACTGACAAATAGAATTGTTCCCAGAGGTCGTCGTGTTCAAACAGTTAACTGGAGTCTTTAATTGCTTGTGTTTGTTTAACTTTCAATAGCTTAAAGCCGTTGCCGTGGATCGAAGCCAGGATGCAGTGGATTTAACAAGAGATAATGCGCAAAGGTAATATTATCATAACACGTGGTTACAAGTTGTAAATGTCATTATTGATTTACTTTTATTGTGGTTAAAGACTTACAATGATAGTGTCTTTAACTGGGCTGTATAGAGTAATGCATAAAGTCTAATGATGGATCTTTTTTCTGCAGCCTGGGGCTTCAGGACAGATTACAGGTTCATCACATAGATATTTTGAAAGGTAAGAGAAAGCAGTGCATTGCAGTTATTAAGTAACACACCTAAACACACTGCTGATATAAAAAAAATTAAATTTGTTTTTTTGTCAGATGCAGAAACTGTGTTGGGCCTCTGTAGCCCTGTTTCAGCTCTGGTCAGCAACCCTCCGTACCTGTTCTCAGAGGATATGAAGTCAATGGAACCAGAAATCCTCAGGTGACTAAAACACATTCAGCTTCTCTCAACATGTTTTTTAATTAACCTCCCCAAAGTTACTGTTTATAAGCAGTAAAGTCACTTAAAACACATTATATTAAGCTAGAATGAAGTTTAAAAGGGTTTATTTTACAGTACAACTCTTCCTATGAAGTGTCCATAACTGGCTGTTAACAAGTCAGATTCTGGCCATAACAGTGTTAAGTTTTGTGTAATATGGAGTTAATGTTTATAATGTTAATGTTTATAATATAAAATAATTTAATTAACTTATGTTATATAATAAATATAGTATAATGCAGATTAGTTAACATACAGTTTATAAATGGTGAACATGGGGTGTAAAATACAGTCATACATTTATTTAAGATTTCTTACAATAAATAAAATTGTGCATACTAAACATGATATTTGTTATAAGTCAAACCTTTGAAAATGTATAAAATTAATTTGCATAAGTGCATTAGACGTCCTCGGAAATGCGATTGTTTTTTTATTTTTAATATGTGACAACAAATAATATCTGTGTACTGTATGTACTGTATGTATACAGGTTTGAAGACCACGCTGCGTTAGATGGAGGTAAAGATGGCCTAAAAGTGATCAAACAGATTCTGAGTCTGGCTCCACAGATTCTGTCCAATCATGGGTAAGGAACCCCACTGTTCACACACACACAAACCCACCTGGGTTTAATTCCTAACGGCGTCGTTGGCTTGTCGCAGGAACAGCATGTTCTGAAAAACACACGTATCGTATTGCCTCTTTAATGAGTTAAGCTTTTTAAAAGACTTCCAGTGAATACAGATCCAGACATGTGCCACTACGCTCATCTCAAGGTTACCTCTGATAATCCTTCTCATAATTAAATTTTAATGCATTTTTTTGTTCTTTTTCCTGGTAAAAAACAGTCGTGTTTACTTGGAGGTGGACCCCAGACACCCCCCGTTCATTCGACGGTGGGTGGAGGCGAATGTGGAAGAGATGCATTATGTGGAGACACGGCACGACATCACAGGCAGGTCTGTGCAGAGAGCCTTTATGTCACCGGGGCATCATTAAATCTGTATTCATGTTGATCTCTTATGCCCGTCACTGTCTGTTTGATTTAAAGCAAATGGCTAAAAAAATCTTAATTTAATTACAAAATGAAGCTCAAAACACTCTTAATTGGCTCTTTCACGTTGCAACTGAAGTACTACATTTAGAGTCTATCACACATTTTGTTTATGTTTTTTTGTTTCTTAGGCCAAGATTCTGCATCTTTCAGAAAGAGAAGTCAAACAAGGACCGCAAGCTGAATCTGGATTGAGAAACTGAGATCCTATTACGCTGGCTTTAGCCCAGGTCGCCACAGCCTCAGTTCCCCTACCCCCACTGAGCCACCAAAACACGCGCTCGCACTTGATCACTCACGATTCACAATGTGCAGAAGCTCAAATCATTGTCATGTCACCATTGCACTTTTAATCTGGTATCATTTGTGATCGCATCCTGCTCCCACAATAAAGAAATGTGTGCAAGATGGCACAAAAGCAGGCTCAAAGCTGAAGGTAATTACCAAGGCTTTTCTTGGAACCCTCCCTCTCAGAATCTCACCCTCCTCCCAGGAAGCATTCAGTAGTTCTGTGAATCCACTGATGAACGGTCCTCCCCTTCGCTTGTCCACTCGCTGACTCAGATGCAGGCTGTGCACATTGTTGAGCAAAAAAAACCACACACACACAATGTGGCCTTTTACTTCCTCACACAATCTGCGTGTCTCACACTCTTAAAGCTCAAAGGCCACAAAATCTTTGTGTTTCAAAGGTGATTGAAAGCGAACATATTTCGTAACAAGTGTCACAAGAGCGGCCATCATGTGGCGCTTAATAATAATGATGATGATAACAGTGTTTCTTGTTACCCTGTGAGTAATACTGGCATTATAGGCGTTATAACACGTAAAGAAAAAGCAAAGAAAGAAAGGCGAATTAGTCTCCCAATTGCTTATTTTAATAAAAAAATGTACACATGTAAAAGGTAGAAAAAAACGTCTTACTGAGAAAAATACAATGGCGTGAAAGATGTCTCAATGGAATCGGTGTACTTCTTAGGAACTGTATGTACATCCAGAACTGACAAGGGTTAAAATGGCTGTGGACAATTTCCACAAATAAGTGTAGATTACAGTATTGAAGTTTGCTCACGAGGCATCTTCCTCTCGGGGTACTTCACCACCCACTGAGTCTGAAACCAGGCACGTCAGTATGAACTGTACATATTTCATCAGCAAAAAAACATGACCCTGTGTCCAGTATTTTTCTGTGACTGGCCTCCAACTGCTGGAGCAGCGATGTCATTCACAGGCACAAAGGACCTGTTTGACAGTTTGTTTTTCCTTTAAGTCAGCTGAGATTCAGCCAGAATGATGGATTTTAGGGACACCCTTCCTCCTTCTCCTCCTCCTCTCTCCTCTCACTCAGACCTTGAAGGGGTAGTCCTGTATGTAACGCAGCAGAAGCCTCGGGAGTGGTAGCTGGTCGGGGCAATCAGAGTGTCTGTTAATGACCAGGCGTGTGAGGTGCTGTAAGGAGGGGAGGCCCTGGGGCTTGTACACAGCCCGCTTCAGTTTTAATACAACAGATGTGTCCTGCATTGTCTGCTGTTTTGCAGGAGCCTCCCCCTCCACCTTCCTCCCTTCCTCTGCTTTCTTCTCTGGTCCCATGTAGTGCTGCACCAGGCTGGGCACGTTTGGGAAGGACGACAGGCTGGGCCGGGCCGGAGAGCTGGAGTCCAGTAAAAACTGAGCGCCGCTGTACTGGATCCGTATACTGGTGGGGCCGCGTGCAGTCCTGACCGAGAGGGTCAGCATGTATAGAGGGTGGCTGCTGTCTCGTACCAAAAAAGCTCCTTCAGATGCCTCTTGAAGTGCAGCGTGAGCTTGAGCCGCAGTCACAGCTCCCCAGTACCATCCTACACACAGACACACACACAGATTCCTAATATTAGTCACTCTGCGTTAAGAGTCAGCGCTGTCCTTTCCACTGCTCTCGATCTTAACAGTCCACAGTTCAGTAATGCAACTAAATATCTTACATCATGAAAATGAAATCTGTTAAACAGACCCTGGAACAGTTTGTGGCTTTCCAGGAATCTTAACAAGAACACACGCTTCCTATCGTACCTGAATTTTCTAGATAGCAGAAGTTGCTGGCAATCGCCCGCAGGTCCTTTGTGGGGTCCCATAGCGGAGGGGTGCTCTGGAGGCAAGGGGTAGGAGGTACTGTTCCTGCCCGCATGCCCCGTGGGGGTTCGGTGGACGGAGGAGCGGGCAGAGAAGCTCTAGGACTGGACACAAGATGGAAAATATGGATTTAATGGCATGAAAAAAACACATTTAATAAAACACAACTCGCTTTACTCCTTTATATTAATGCAGGAATCCATGTTATATTTTATTTGTGGTGTTAATTACTAAGTAATAATAAGAGGAAGAATAAGAGGTTGATACACTGTCCAGCTTCAAACTGAGAAACCACAAATGTGAACATTTAGGCTTATTTATGATTTTAATTCATTCTGATTTTATGACGTATTTTGTTGGTACATTTGTTTTGTTCTTTGTCTGTTGCTGATGGTGACCAGGACACAAAAGAACATTTTAATCTCAGTTAGATTTGACCGGTTTAATAAAAAAAATTAAAAAGTGCTGTTTAATTATTACTATTAGCTTTAAGAAGTTTCTAATAAAGATCATTTTTTAGTTTTTATAATTAGTATAACAAGCATTTTAGTATTAATAGACTTGAGTTAGAGCACCTGTACAATCGACCCTCTTATTTAAAGACTTTGAATAAAACACTCATAAAGGCTGCACTATACTAACAGTACTGTACAAATTAATAAGTAATTGTACTTTAACAGAGACAGCACAAGAGAAAAAGCACAAAGAAGGAAAAGTCCACTCACCCTGGTACACAAAGAATCATGCTATTTCTTGAATCCTCTGGCTACAATCCGGTCGGTTATATTCTTCTTTTTTTTAGAAAACGAGACGACGAAGAAAGGCGAGAAAACAAACCTTTGTATACATCGGTCTGAGGGAATGAGCCTTATTTTAAAAAAAGAAAGAAAGACAGAAAAGCGACGAAGAGCTCCGCGTACCCAAATAGGCTCTGGTCCTGTAGTTCATAAAAGAAAAACCCTGGATGTAAAAATGAAACAAAAACCCCGTTAAATATAAAATAATTTAAAACATTAAAACCCTCTCTCTCTGTAGCAGCCGGGGTCTTGTGGAGTGTGTTGTCAAAACCAGAATAGGATCCAAATGTGTGAAGGACAGAGTGTAAAAAAGGCTTGGCTTTTAAAATGTACCGTTTCCTAGAAGTCTATTCTGAGAACTCCTCACAGCACCGGCGGCTTTGACGTCACACCGACCGCTGCCGGTTGTTTCGCTCCGCGGCGAACCGACGCGCTCCGCGGCCACAGCGGCGTCTCCCCGGCAGGTAAAAAACGCTCCTAATTTCTCGGGATAACCGTGATATTTATCTTTTATTGCCCCCTGAAACGCCTCTCCCTCCCCTTTCTCTCTACATTCATGTGTGTGTGTGTGTGTTTTGAGCCTCGTCGCTCCCCCTCCTGTGTTCGGCCGGCGGCTCTTGGCTTCGCTGAAACCCGCGCTCGCTCCCAGGAATCGCGCGGCCGCTTCTCCCTATCCGCTTTCCAGGAATGATTGCAGAGTTTGACTCCGCCCCGCCGGGCGGCCCTGACAGAGCCTTCATTCTGGGAATTCACCGCCTCAACATTAAAGATAATAGGAATGCACACAGGCCTGTTTCCAGTAATATAGATTCCCCCCGATCGATCCCGGTGGAAAAACACGGCGAGAGGTTTTCTCGGAGGTTTGTCGGAGTAATTACGATCAAAAGCAAGTGTTTATTTATATATTTTTTGGTTTTATTGTGACAATAAACTAAAAAGCAAATGGGACAGAGAAAATGTGATTTTGCTCACCATGTGTTTGTTCCACTGTCCAACCCTGTCTTTTATATCGGATTACGGTTAAACCATGTGTTCTCAATAGTTTTGTCAAAGGTTGAGACACTTTTTATTTATGCTCGTTTATTTCTCCTGACATTTGTTTTGTAGGGAGTCTATCTAGGAAAATCACGGTTTTCACATGAGCTCAACATCTTTTACCTAAAAGTACTAGAAGAAGCTGCTGAATAAAGACTGTTGAGGATAATACAGCTGTTGGATTGTCATCAAACTCTTATAAATCTGAGGAACATCTTGTTCAGGAGGATGGAAAAAAAATGTATTCCAACAATACCCTGAGCCTTCTCTCACTCACACTCACTCACACATGGCAGCTCCGAATCAAAGTAACATATGAAAGTATGCTGTATCATAATCATATCCATCCACGAGAGCCTGCTGATCCCAAATAGCTGAATTTCAACCTTTTCCAAGAAATCCTGAAATGAGCTTAGTTTCTAAGAAGTCTTGTGGACTTATCTATCCCTGCTGGATGTGTGGTTAAACAAATATGTCATGTTTTCCCATTTAGGAAGAAGAAAAAAAAGAACACCACAATTATTTTAGTGGAAATTCAGTTGGTTTTATTTTAGAATTCCTGTAATTAGAATGGTTGAGATAACATTGTGTCTTTCTCTAAACCTAAAAGTGTTTATAACAATCACACATAAGCACATAAAAGGAGGACGTGGAAGAAACCATAACTTTACACTTTTAAAGAAGCCAGATTCCTCATAAAGCATATTTTTGTGTGTGTTTGTGTGTGTGATGTTTTGAACACCTGATGCAATGGCAGCGTTTTCTGAATGAAGGTTGTCTTGTAAATTTATTCCAATCCTGGGGTGTATAATATGATTTAGCGAAGCAGCTGGAGAGCATTGTACGAGGTAGGCAGGGAAATTACCAAGAATCTGGTAGATGAAAAAGGTACATACTGTACGAGCCTTTCCTAACTCTATGTTCCCATTCAGGTCTATTTAAAAAACATATTTTTGAGTGACTTATGTTGCAAAGATGATTGCATTCACATGCTAAAGGTGCACAAAAGTAAAAAAAACTTGAAATATAAAGAGTGGACTTGTATCCAGGGAGATGCCAGTGTTTTGGAAGAAGGCTAGATAGATAGATTAAGTAGTAATTTTCTTTAGTAATTGATTGCTTACTCTACACAAAGCAAGCAAAAAAATGCCCAACACAAATTCTCTGAGCTCAAAGTGACATCTTAAAATGTCTTGTTGTGTCCCACCAAGCCTCTAAAACCCAAACACACATTTACTATCATAAAAAGATGAAGAAAAGCAGCAAATATTTACATTATTACCAGCTGAATCAGTCGAGGCAGAAACACTTTATCACTGCAGCTTCTTTACAAAATCTAGCAACTTCAATTTACTACTTTTTGTTTTCATATTTTTCAAACTACGATTTTACATTTTAAATCTTGTTTTTCCAAGATCTTCTTCGAGCACCAGTTTATCTTAATCATTTCCAGCTGTGACTAACTCCTTCCTTTCCATTATGCAGTGCAGGACAATAGTGCCTGTCTGCACCACACACCACGTATTTGCATAGCCTACTGATATCTTTAATAAACTTTAACTTCTCCCTGTGTGAACACGCTACATACCCAGAACTTAGATTTAGTGAGTGGAAGGATGTTTGGCACACAATGAATAACTGTTGTCCTCCTCCCAACATGGAAGAAAAAAGGGCATTTCCAGAAGATTCTGAGAACAGCTTTAATTGCCTGGAATCAGCAATATAAATCCATCCGTTGTATGAGAGAAAGCCTTATTCATCAGCGGAGCTTAGTTCTCAGGGAACAGGCCCGGAGAGGACTGCTGAGGCTGTCCTTTGCTAAAGATATACAAATATTTTGTTGCAGGGCATGATGTTTAGCAGCAGCATGGCTCCAGGTGACAGCAATGGCAGCCGGTAGGAGAGTCGGGCTGGTCCGAACTGAAGTATCTTAACATCTTCTTGATGGATTGGACATTAAAGTTAGTACAGACATTACATTTTTCCCAGAGGATGAATCCTACTGACTCTGGTGATTCCCTGACTTTTCCTCCTGCTCCACAACGAGGTTCACAATGGTGATTAGTGAAATGTCTCAATAGATGTTGGATGGTCATGAAACTGGGTACGCATGTTCATGTTCCTCTCAGGATGAATTGTAATAAATGTAGTCATCCCTTAATGCAGGCGGCGGAAACCTTTACTATTACACTGAACCTTTAGGGCCAAAATAAAACTGTCTGGAGCTGCAGATCAAGCATTCAGTCAGCCAGCAGCATTGGTGTATTGGCACAAACATTCATGGTTCCCAAATGTATTTTAATGGATTTGTTGCCCTGACTTTCCCACTTAGCACCAACATCAGGTCAAATTCTTTGTCTAATACTGTTTTTATGACCAAATACCTACAAAACAACTCAGATTCCACCTTGTGTTTATGTATTTATGTGCTAATTAACATAACTTAACTAAGCTTGTTAACATGGTCAATATTATACCTGCTAAACGTCAGCACAGCATTGTCACTGTGAGCATGTTAGCGTGCTGCCGTTAGCATTTACAGTAGCTCCCAGCACCACCGTGCAGCCCGACAGAGAGAGTCATGTTTACAATATCTACACAGACTGATCTCACAGCACAGATGACCTCAAAAGCAGCTTGACAAAAACATCGGCAGTGGTTCTGCATTAAAGGAGCTGTTACCTGCTATGAAAAGTGATCTTGTCACTAAGAATTTTAATGTGTCCTTTGATGATGTGACCCTGGTTGCTCTCTTATACTGTATTCTCAGAAAACACTGACCAGAACTGTGAAGCTGAATTGATTTTCATGCAGGTAAATGAACACAGTGCTCTCTTTCACACACCGCAACCTCACTGCACTTCAGCTCTTGTCCTGAAAAGAGGGTGTTATCGACTGGAGTAGATGCCTGCACGCACAGCTGTTGGTCTAATTTAAAACCTCTTTAATCAGAGATTTAATTATTCCGTGTCCGTCCGAACGATGTGGAATATTTACAGACATGTGACAGAAAGTATTTCCATGCATTAAACATGAATAAGAAGACACAAATCTAATCTAATATCACAGTATAAACACATTTTTATTTAGAACTTTCATATTGTTTATTTAATATAAACATTGTTGATACAAAACCTGTGTTGGAGGCTACATGTGAGGACTGAAACATCTGACTCTAAAGTCTATTATATTGTTAACTGCAGATGTATTCTTATAAATATGGAAGAACCAGACAGATGGTCTTGTTATTGTGAAGCTAATCTGTCTGACTCTTTTGTAAATGGAGGAAGTCATCAATAAACATTTATTTATTTTTGTTATACATTTTTTTCTTATATGCCACAATATATACATATATACTTTACATATATACTGTGAGATTGATTTTTTTTTGTGGGAAAAACAGATTAAAGACAATTTATCAACATATTTGTTATATAGCACAAGTGTTTCAGTACACAAACAGCAGAGGAAATCCATCAGTGTGCACGTTCCTCTGGGCCTGACGAGGTGTTTGTGGGTCTATAGGGAAATGGGGAGGGCTGGAAGTGCAGATGGGACTATCATTATACGTATATATATTTAGTATATATATATATGACCGGTGATATAGTAGATACTGTATATATAGTAACTATATTATAGGAGAAATGGTGTCCACCTCTACCTTTTTTTTTTTTTTTTTTTTTTTTTTTTTTTTTTTTTTTTTGTGTCTTTTTTTTTTTTTTTTTTTTTTTTTTTTTTTTTTTTCTTTTTTTTTTTTTTTTTTTTTTTTTTTTTTTTTTTTTCGCTGTCCCTGTATGGTCTCTCCTGGCCCCTTAATGATGCGCTTGTGTCCCCTTTTTCCTGCCGGGCCGCGGGGCTTAGCGAAGGCCTGCTTGTGGGCATGCTGCTTGGGATGGACCTCGTCATACAGAAACTGCTCTGTCAGTTCATCTCCGTCGTCAATCTCCAACTGCACATAGAAGCGGAAAATATGCAGGTGAACAAAACGCAGTTCTTGGAATTTAGGCTTTAGACACAGTTGAACATAAATGACTTTGACATTCATTAGTCAGCTTGAGGTGCGTAACATTTAGAACTGTATACAACCTGGGCTGTAACCAGGGTGAGGACCGCAGGGGAGCCTGAGGGAGGTCGGCTCCTCTTTATATGACATGAGCTCCCCTGAAAACGATGATTTGTGGGATTTTGGGGGGTCTCGTTAAATAAGGCTATTGTTTGCCATGCTTTTCTATTTTTCTATATCTTCATCATTATGGATTATGTATAAACTTGGGCTGCTATTAATGTATGATTTGTGCATTAGGGTGATTCGTCACTAATTCACCTAAAATAAAGATATTGTTATTCTTACCATTGCCCCTGAAGCGTGGCTGCACAATATCATTAATTTCAGTTCAGAAAATATACAGAAAAATAAACATTTCCTAGTCCCACTCTGCACACCGAATTGCCATTATTCATTTCTCTATTTTGTAGTCAGCATACTGTGCATCACAGTCAGTCCAGCCACGGTACAGTTCGCACAATGGCTGTAACCAGGATTTTATCCTGAGGTCCAAAATCCCTTAAATTCTGTCCTCCAACCTGAAAGTCTGAATACTATACCAAAGCCTCTCCTCACTGCTACCACACTCCACACAACTCCAGTGGATAAACACTGATTAACCTTTATTTATTATTGATTTTTGTACGTCTAAAAGTAGTCAAATACAAATATACTGAGTTTAAAGAAATATAAATAGAAATAAGCCTCCAAAATACCCACAACATGTGAAAAAACACAAAGAGCATGACCTTGGTTTTCTCAGTGGTAGCTGCAACCCTATGTTATGTAAGTTTCTATCCCTCTTTCATCCATTACCTTTTTAGCAATTTCCAAATGGTAATCTTTCTCGACACCCTCCAGTAGTCGACTCTTGCAGCTGGAATACAACATCCGCTCCTTAATGCTGCAGCTGTATCCAGGCATGGAGTATATGAACACTGCAGACAGAGAAAGAGATTTATAAGTAAATATTTGTTATTGCTGTATCAGTGTAATCAGTGATGTAAAAAGAGGAGCATTAACAGAGTGCAGGGACATACCGACAGATTCAAGATAGTCTCCTTCATGGGAGTGTTTGTAAAGGAAGAAGTGGTATCTGGGAGTGTCTTTGGGAACTCTGCGGGGCAAATCTCGAGTTTCTGTCGGGTTGGAGTGGACCAGCTCGATTGTCTCCTTCTCTACATCCAATCGCTGAAACACAATAATAATGCAACAAGCAAAATCTCAGAAGTCTAACACCAACACTCCTGACACCAACCTGCTCAGACTTGAGACTAGAACAATGCCTGTGTCGCTTTCTGGAGTAACCTTACTCCTGTATGACCTCCTCAGGCTCACCAGTTGTATGTAGTTGATGCGTTTCTGGGCAAGTTGCTGCAGGGCTCTTTTGGCTGTCTCCTGCAGTGGGAAGGTGAGGCCCTGAAGCGTCTGGTGCTTGCTCTCCACGCTGATCTCTGTCTTCACCTGCAGGGGGCAGCAAGCAAACACGCATCCATTTTAAGACTCTACAGGAAGATTCAAAAAGTGTTTAATGGAATAATATAACTTTTTAACAAACTATCTTTACATCCAGTAGATATAGATCCTCTCCGTCTTCCCCCATTCACCTCAAATCTGATTCTCATTAAATATGCACACTCAGTAAATGTATCAACGTACCTGTTTAACCCGGCCCTGAAAAAGCAATCACAACAACAAATTTACATTTCAAATAGAAGAAGCTACTTTAAAGACACAGACCGAGTGTGGCACATGCAATGATGACAACACTGCTGAGGGCATGTTGACCTCTCACCTCAGTAATTTTGATCCTCTGGAGCTCCTGCTCAGCTAATGTGAGCGGGGCAGGACCTGAGCAGGATGACACATGACGCTGGTAGCCCAGCAAACAGATGTCCTCCTAGTGTAGCAACCAAAACAAGAGGCTCTTTACAGGAAGCGCAGGTCAAATACCTCTAAAAACACGTCATCAACAGACACAGTCACAGTGAATTAAAATTAATTTAAATGTTTCTGACCTCAGCTGTGCCAAACATCTCATACTTCACGTGGCCACCGCCAAACTCTTTCTTCACGGTGGCACGGGTGGCAGCATACAACATCTTTTGTTTCACCTGCAACCATCAGAGGAGAAAATATAAGTATTGTCAGACAGAATTGCTACAATGCTTATAAACACATGCAAACAGGTAAGTTTGATTAGGTGTGGTCAGCTTAAAACAGGTAGGGGAAGACTGCAAGTATTTCAAAACCAGAGTTAAAAACTCTTTTAAAGTTTAAAAGTTTTTTAAAGATACTATTAAATTGCATTATGGTAAATGTAGGATCCAGCATTTTTTAGCACATGACCCATTCTAGGTTTCTTCTTATGTGATTAGTAACTGATTAAATAATAATATCAAACTTCTTTTGATGTTTTTAGTACAGTTACATACATTTCATTATACAATGTTCTCATTATTACGTATTGTAGGATATGTACCTATGTGGTACAGTATTTTTTCCATGGTTTTGTATGTGGGCTTATTCTATTGAATAATACAAACTGTATCTATGTAGTTTACCTTATGATTATTTGTAAACAATTAATGTTTAAAACCAAAAGATCTGAGTAAGGTTTTGTTTACAATCAGACGACCTCATTGACCTTATTTTGTATGGATCCTGGGGGCTGCTGGTGTTTTTTTTATGTCAACGTTAATGTTGTTAACAAACTGAGTACAAGTGATTGACAGGGAGCAGGATTTGTTTTTGCTTCCTCCAAAAAATGACATGTAAATTTGAGGCTTTCACCTATCACCAGCAATGTGTGTGTGCAGCTTCAGTGTGAATGATGGCATACTGGAGACTGGTCAGGAGACCATGATATGAAGATCCACTCGTAGCCCTGTGCATTCTGGGAGTCGAGGCGGTAGAGGACGTAGCAGGGGTCCTGGTCATCCAGGAGAGGAAGCAGGAAGTGATCATAATCCTGGTCCCAGCTCTTTTCCGGCTCTCTGTAGGCCCCCAGCACTAGCTGCTCTGAAAATCAGACCAGTACTCATCACATACCATAACCCCCTATATGTAACGTGGCCTTTGCAGAGCACATTGACACATACAGACGCAGTTAGATGACACTATAGTCCACAGTCGTGTAGGTTTACACGTAGGAGTATAATTGCAATTGGATTTATAAAAATCAGGTGTATACTGTTAAATTCGCCCTGAAGTTATGCCTATTATTATACATTATATAATGTAATTATATAATTGATTGCTTAAACATGGTCCAGTGGAGGGGCCTGCAGTCGTGCGTATTCACATTAATTAATGAAATTTAAATATATTCTGGTCTGTAACTACTTACACAAACAATTTAGCATAAAATAACCAACATAAAAAGGCAAAACAGTACAGTAGAAAAGAACAGACAGCATACAGAACAAAAAAGTGCAGCTTATTGAGTCGACAAAGACAATGTGCAAACTTTTTGATGTTTAAAAAATAACATCAGACAAAATTTGACTCTATTTATATTCTCAACTTTATCACATTTTTATATTTGTTCATTAATTGATTTTCAAACATTCTAAAACTCAACTGTGCTGCACATTAAAACACAATGATGTTTTACATTAGTCCTTTCTACATATTCATACTGTCACACTGATTTTAGTCTAATTTTAAACAACTTTCAGGTAGTCATTTGTTTTTTACCTTATATATACAATCTCTATCAAGTCTATATATGTTAAGTACAGTATTTATACTGTACTAGCCGATATATTTATGGTGGCATGTGAACACAAATACAACCTCCCAACTTCGTCCTCTTTGTCAGAAAAGGAGAATGTTAATCTCTGTTTATTTTGGTCAACTAGGGCTGCAATTACTTTCATTATTGATTAAACTGATGATTATTTGGCAAATAATAGATAAATTTGCTTGGTCTACAAAATGTCAGAAAATAATGAAAACAGCTCTTCACATTTTCTAACTGTGACATCTTCAAATATCTTGTTTTTTCCAACTAACAGTGTTTTCAAACAGAAAAAAGCAGCACATTTTCACAATTTAGAAGCTACAGACTGACGAACTTTGGGATCCATGGTTTGATTATCAACACATTCGCTGACTAATTGATTGGCTAATCAACCATCAGCCCTCATTGCTCACCAATTAACGTGTAAACCCACTTATCTGGTCCAAAGTCAGTCTGAAAACCTTAACTGATGTCTCACTATTTGCTCTCTGTGTTCGCTCCATGTGCTGTGGTGAAGAAAGGCAAAGACCACCTCTGGCTTTAAAAATATTACCAGATACATTTCTGAGCTGACGAAATGCTAAATAGCTCGGCTTAATGAAATACACAAAATACACACATACACCCAAAGTCTGATGTCCTTGTGGGGTGCAGGGGGATTTCCTGACCGTCTCTTGGGGCATGAAGCTATTCTGAGGCACAACACATTCCTGCTCTGCACACACACATACTTTCCATTAGCAAGTCTTTAGAGGTCTGTAATCGTATTAAACTGTACGTAAATGACTCACTTTAGGGGTAGTGTATTGTCTTTGTTCCTTAAATCGTAAAACAAAGTAATGAAATAATGAGACAGACGCTCTCAGGGGTACAGTTGGGTGATGGCATACAAGCGGCAAATGAAGCCAGCAGTGATGAAACCAGCTAGAATGATCTTGTTTCTCTTTTGACATTGGGGCGAACAGTGTCACTGGGCAGCAGCAACCATGTCAAGTCACGTGTCGCTCAAAATAACCCAAGTGCCGCCCCGGGAAGATCACGGTGCTTTAAGTAAGGAAGTAAAACAGAGCTGACACCCCTCTGTCTCTGTGGCACCGAGCTCGTCCCTATTGACATCAATACTCCAAATATTTAATGTGATGCAAAGATAGCCCCCAAAAAGTCCCAGAATGCATCTGTGATGAGTCAGATTACAGCTGGTCAGATACCCAAACAAGATATAAACACCTCATGAACATATCAGTCCAGTTCCATAATCTGCTACTTAGAAACCTGTTGCCTCACTGCCCATTTTTCCTCAGACTGCTCAGCTGACACACTGTCTGAGCTCACACAGCTGACGCAATCCTCTTGTCCTAGAAGTTAGACAAAGTCTGAGGCAGTGGTTTACCAACTTTTGTTTTTGTTTGTGAGCCCGTAATGTGAAGCAACGTCTGTTTGGGATGCCTCCAGACGGTCTTGAAAACTATTCTTCAATAGCGTCCTGGTTTGTGTTTTTAAGCCATCTTTGAAATACCCAGACTGATTACAGCAACACTTAAAGCTGCTCTGAAGGTTTTTCCAGAATGTTTGTTAGTTGTGTCTCAATTCAAAATGAGAATGCTGGCCAGAAATATCATATGTCCTTGCTCAGTTTTTATTTTATTTATTTATTTTAAGTACAAAAATCACGTTGTCTTTTTTGTATCATACAGATCAAAAAGGGACATTTTCCATTTCCGGCTACCTTTATTTACAAAATACAGTTTCAACTTGAGAAACAGTTTTAAAATCTTTTGTATTGTGCAGCGAACAGAATTATTAGATTAGATAATTAGAACAGCCGTTACTGTTGTTAAACAACTTTATGGGTTTTTTGAAAGATCACCGGATGCTCAGTTCTTGAGTATAATGATAATTCATGAGATACAAACTGCAGTTTCATGTGAACACTAAATGGTACTTCACAACAAAAGGGCAGAATAATTTAATATTTTCTACTTCTATAAATGTCTAATGGCCACTTAGATTCCTCTCACGACCCCCTTTGTGAAGGTCCAGACCCCCAGGTTGAAAACCATTGGTCTATAGCTTTATAACAGAGCTTCCAGCTTGTGATAAAAAGGGACATCATGTCTGGTTTGGAAGCTTTTTAAGCAACACGAGGCCACTACAGCCATGTAGATTATGTTATAAAGTAGTATAAAGTCAAAGGGTCTTAAGGAAAATTATTAAAGGGAAGAGAAAGGAACTCAAGATTTCTCTTCCCGAAACCTATGTTTTCCAGTGAACACCAAATACCTCATCAGGCCTCTAAAAATCCTTTAAATGAAACAAACACCTTCACATGTGATCGGTGGCCACAGGTAGACATTATTTCATTGTAAGTGTCCACAACCAAACACTCTGAGGACGACTGCCATAGAGGTAGGATACATCTTTGCATAAATAACTTTTATACTTTTTTCCAGATGATTTGTTGAGTGTCAGATGTGACAAGCTCTGGACATTGTGTGAGATGTTTGTGCTCAGATTTAAAGCAACCGACCTAAGATATGCTATAAATGAAAAGAACAAACATGAAGTACTTAAAACTAATATCACAGATGATTTATATATTACATCCCACTGAGGGACCAACATTATTACTGTCCTGGGTCACTCACCATCTAGGATGCAGACCTTGAGGAGGCGCACTGCTCCACCTCTTGCCCTGGCCAGGAACTCCCTGAGCTCTGGCGTCACAACTAGTGCGAGAAACATGGCGGGTCAGCAGTCTCTTCTCCTCCCGCCAAGTGGTGTTAGCAGGGGTGTTGAGAGACAGAGGAGAAGCAATAGACGAGGACTGGAGCTCCACAGAACCAGGGCCCAAATATTCAGTCCAGTCAAGAGTCACTAAAGTCCAACCAGAGCAGCCTATTGTAAAAATGTCCTATACTAAGTACAGTTCTGACTGCTGAAGAAGAGGATCGCCGAGTGTGTCTGGACTCGTTGAGAGAGTGTGACGTGTGAGAAGGGACATCGCTCAAGTAACTAGGACAGGATCATGTGCACACAGTGAGGGAACCTGATCACCTCTCTCCCAAATTTAGCTCCCACTGGCTGACTGTCCAGCCCTGAGTACTGGTCTGTGAAACCCCCACCACACAGCAGGACCAACAGAGGAGGAAGAGAATGTGACCTGCAAACCTCTTAACTTCTGAGCCAAGAAACAATTTCAAGTCAGACATATAGTCACAAGCGAGCGTTTGGAAGGATGATGCCTGTAAGAGCTCTGAGGCAGACGCACTGTTTAACCGTTAATACACTGAAGTGGGCTGCGTTCGTCTTCTCATTTAAATTTTACCATGTAAATGTCTGATATTCTGCTGGTTATGAGTTACAAATCACAATGATTCAGGCTGAGGTAGGAGAGAAAAGGCTGATTTAGAAAGGAAACCATATTTGATCAAAATGAGCATATTGCTTAAGTTTACCCAACTTATTTAACTTTGTTGATCACACACCTCTCAGCTTACTCCACACATGACAAATGTGATGATCAACAGATTGTGTAAGATGTTTTTCATGTCATGAATCGACTGGTCACGCCGACATCACGCTCCCTGTCCGAGATCCATAAATTTAAAACTGATAATTATGGGTTTCTTTACAAGTCCTAGTTTAATTTATACAATAATAAACATTAAACCTGAAAATTAACATTACACTGACAACTCATAAGCTTGACTGACCAAGTCATATGAACTATAAATTAACTGTTAATATTTAAATACAGTAAATATTTTCCACAATTAATAACCTTGTGCTTCAATTAATAATAATTTGTGCTTCAAAAGATAATTTCCTTTAATAAAATGTGACTCATATACATCATATAAAGTTCATTACATCATCTCGGGCCAATGTAAACTGACTCAACTGAAGTCATCAGGACAAAAATAAAAAAACATTAAAGTAGGTTTGGATGGTTTGATTCATTACAAAAAAGAAAATCAGTGGTTGAATCAGATAAAGATTTCTTGCAACACGGCACCATTGGATTGTGTAATCAGTTTGTAAACACGCAACAACATAATAACAAAGTTGACAAAACCAACATCTTACAAAGAAACAAGGTTTAATGTTAAATAGAAATATAAAAAAAGAATAGACAAATGATCTATTTCTGAAAACTACTTATTTACAATTTGAACTGAATAGGCCGCACTTCCTGTGAAATGTACACAGAGCTGGTTGTGCTGCCCCCTGCTGGTCACTTTGACTTCGCTTTACAGTCATCAGTCATCGATGGTGGGCAGCCAGAACGCCTGGAAGATGAGAAAACATTTAAAAACGTTCAGTCACATCAGATCCACTTTGGGCTGCTGGTGTTTTCT